TTTTTTTTTTTTTAAAAAAAAAATTTCTTTTATTTTTCTAACTTTTAACTTTCCTAACTTCGTCACCCCTCTTTTTAAAGAAAAATATTTTTTTGATTTGTTCTTTTATTCCCCACTCACTACCCTTTCTTTTTTATTTATATTATCTCTTTTTTTTTCATAGACAAACAGATTTTTTTTGAGTTTCTTTTTTCTTTTTTTGTAAATTAGTTTGGGAGTCCTTTTCTTTTTGTAGGATGGTACAGGATTTTTTTCTTTTTTAGGTCAGTTCAAATTTTCTTTTTCTTTGTAAGTTTGGTTCAGATTCTGGATTTTTTTCTTGTAAGTTGTTTTGGTTTCTTTTTCATCAGACGTTTTATGATTCTTTTCTTTTATGTAGGTCAGACATTTTGGAGTTCTCTTTCTTTTTTGTAGGAATACTGACCCTTGGTGACTTGGACGATTGCAGATACTATATGAGGGTGTTTCGGTTTCCGGTTAAGTTAAACATTCTCATGTTTCTTTTTTCTTTTTAGGTTTTTTGACTCTGAATGAACCTGAACATATTATAGATAATTTAGGTTGCAATAGGTGGTTTTGATAAGGAAGGGAATTTTAATAATGTATTTAATATATTTGTATTTGTTTAATTTTTAATTTATATTTAATTTAATAAAGTAGAATTAAATTTATGTAAATACAACTTTAATAAACTGTAATATAATGGTAAATTCAGTAACCAAATCGTATAAATTTCATGATAAAATCAGTGATCAAATCATGTAAATTCCATATGAATCCCGTGTAAATTCCGTATCCAAACCATATTTTTAGTGATACGGAATTGTGCATTTTTCCGTATCCTTTCATGATAAGGAAAAAAAATCGTATAAAAACTTTATAAAAAACGTATCCGATTTTTTATAGGGTGTTATTATTATTCTAGTTTGTTTATAATAAATTTTTGAATTTTATTTTATAAATCGAGTAGTTACTGTTAGATGTTATAACGAGAAAATTTACCTTTAAATAAATCTCTTTTGATAGATTTTCATGTTAAAGTTTTATTGATTCTAAAATCACCTTATTTATCTGAACTTTTAGACGTCATGCTGTAACTAATTGTGCTTGTTAAGTTTTCTCTATTATGAATGTACAAAGAAATAATGTAAATTAAGTAGATAAATAATTATTTAAATTTGATATATATATATGGATTACCCTATATATGGATTTTATAATTTCAATTGAAAAAAAAAAATTTTATTTGTATCAATACTATTATTAAAGCTATAAATTAATAATTGCAAATTTAAATAAAAATTAAATATTATAGATAGAACGAAAAAATGAATTTGTATGAGTACTCTTAGCTAAAATCTGTCTTAAAATGGGGAATGACGATACTTGGTCATATGGATATATGGATGGAAGCCTTTATTTTTACTTTAATATACGGTAAATAATTTAAAATAAAGAATATACCCTTTCAGCGAAATGAATTAAACAATATTATAGTAATAATCAATAAATAACGTAAATTATTATTATTTTTTTTTTTCAAGGGCCGCGTGATAACTTTATTGATAAATTATTTCATATAAAACAAAATATCTCTATTCTTCAGTCAGATCAACGAGATGTGGCCGACGAAATAAAATTTCTTCCAAGTTTCCAGAATTTACAAAGGGATTAAAGATATCCAAATTTTGTACAATTAAGTGTAAAATATAAATAAAATTTCAAAGTACTAAAAATAAAAAAAAAAACTAGGAAAAAAAATAAAAATAAAAATTCTATAACAGATAAGAACGAAAGGTAAAATAAATAAATTAACTAAAACAACTACAGTATATCAATAAATTAAATAGGGGACGTAATATGACTTTGCATGAAATAAATATATTTTTGAAAAAAGCCTATCAAGAAAAAAATCTTTCTAATACCCCCGAGAACGGATATATATGTCGAGTTGTGCATTATTCCTATATGTATTATGTATTTATTTGATTGTTAGTGATAAATAAAGCTTAATAATTTATCATATTACAATTACCCATCAGATATCGATCCGTCAATGTTCATTGAATGTTCCTCAAATTCCAAAGTATTTGATCCCTTATTTCCTTTTTCTTTCAAATATTCATTTATAGAACTTTTGTCTTCGCCTGGGAAATCCGGATCTGTTTCACAGCCAATAAAAACGAACCATTTGTTTTTTCTGATGATGGATATCTAATAATGAATAAGCATGGTTATATAGCCGATTTTAGAGAATTCAGAAAACATTTTTAACTTCCAAGACTTTTTTTTTATCAAAATCATTGCTAAAGGACTTACCCTCCAACCCACAATAAGAAGTAATGGTAAATTATTCTTACGCTTGTCATCAATTTCATAAGTAACAATTCCGCAAGCTTTTTCAATTGTTGACTTGGACTTTCTATCGTACATAAAACGGCATGTTAGAGTTAAAAAAACTTTAATACTAAAAAAACGTGCTACTTATATATTGCCTCCCATTTTAAAATCCATACCCATCCAAATCCCAAATCCCAAATCCCATCCCAAATCCCATTTAAGTGTATAAAAAATTCTCAATAAAACTTTTTACATTTAAATTTAGCTTTAATACTGCGATGAAAAATTATTGGCCTTTTATTATCGAGACTTTTGGTAAAAATACACGATTTCCCGACGGCGACAGGACATTTGCCCGACAGGTTTGGCCAGAGTTATGCAGAGTTATGCACACACGTGATCAAACGGCCAGCGTTAGGGTGTTGGGAAAATGTCTTGTTGGGTAAACCACGTCTCATTATTATATAAGGAAAAATGCATACTTTGCCCAACAACTCCCGTTGGATCAATTACCCAATACTGCCACCCACTCAGCCAGCTAGATGTAATCCATGAATGAATAATAAATAAAATTTTATAAAATAAAAGATTTAAATCACGTGACTTAGGTTCTCTTCGCTAAGTTACGACTGGAAATACACCCTTCACCTATTCACCTAATAGGATTTGGAAAGCCTGTATGCAAGCTAACAATTGGATAAGGTGAACCTTTTTCTATCAAATAAAAAAAGCATTTTTTTTATAAATAAGATACTAAATTCTCTACAAACAAATGCTGATATTAAAAGCTATTCGTGCTTCAGGTGGTCGTTTGAATGAAAAAGCTTGCTAGAATTTAATATATATAGGAATGATAAATGGGATTGGGATTTGGATACATATCAATCCTGAACGTACGTGTATATATAGGTACTTACATTGATCCCATTTCTTTGCGATTTATTGTTACGGGTAACGGTGTGATCAATTTATTTCCAATTTCAAGAGTATGTTTTCCATGATGTAATGTATTCTTTGATTTGGTATTATTAATATTGATTGTTATCCTGTTAACCAAGTTGTTTTGAACAAAATTATTAATAGCTGATAATGGTATCGGTGGAATATTCATGGCTTATTTTAATTTAAGTTACGTAATAAAAATGATAGGCGTTAAAAATAGAGTGAAAAGGCTATCTTGAAATGGGGTAAATTATGAACGAGATTTATGAATTTGCAACAGCAAAAAAAGAAGGGATTACAGATGTATTTATACTTACATCCTGTATACAAAAAAAAGTTTTATTTGAATTTGCTAACAACGTTTTGACGTGCAGATCATTTCTACACTTTTGGATATTATGTGATGCCTATCTGTCACTGTCCACTGTTCTCGTTGGTTATATTTATTTCTGCGACTTTAATTTTTTTGAGGGGGCGATCTCTATTTGTCACCGTCATAGTATGTACCTGCGTTACCATAAACATTCTCCCTATACAATCAGACATGTGTTTTGGTATTATGAAATACGCCATATAAGATCTGTAAAATGAACGACGGTGTAACATTATTCAATTTTTGGATTTCATCTATCTAGATTTCTTTGTTCAGTTCATATCCGTTCTGTTCCGTTCTGTTCCTATTTTTGCCTACTTTTTTTTAGCCATCCTTTGACCGGAATAAATTGAGCAGAAAAATCGCATTTGATCCATTCCGTTTGC